GGCGATTGCCAGGTTTATTCTCCTAAACTAGGCATCATTTTCTTTGTTTTATGAGGTTCATGATGTGCATTGTTTAGTTTTTGAGAAGTCTTTCCCTCACAGTCCTGAGGCAAAACTGCCCATTTTAGCTGGCAGCTGTGGATGTTTACTTCGTGTTATTTACTTAAAAAACCTGAGGTTTGAATTCTTCAAGTTAAACATGGCTAAAATGCAAACCCAAGTATTTCCCCTCTGGAGATGTTAAAAAAAAAAAATGCGTCCCATAAAGAGTTCTGTGAACAACTGCATGTGAAACTTTTGCATATCATTGCTTCTTCCTAAGGTTCTACTGGCCAGAAATATACTAAGTTTTGCAGAAAGTCAAAATTGTATGAACTAAATTTCTTTTAGTTTCTTAAGCTTTATTTGAGTATTTCTTAAGCTTTACTTGAGTATTTCATCTTTGGTGGTATACATCTCCCAATCACAAAATCTAAGACTAAGGTCAAAAACTAAAATAAAATGTTTAGTAGAGGGATACTTAACCATTTACATGACCAGTGCATTTTTTTTTTTGCTTTTTTTGGAGCACACCCACTGATGCTCTGGCTCATGCACTCAGGAATCACTCCTGGAAGTGCTTGGGGGACCATATAGGATGCTGGGAATCAACCTGGGTCGGCCACATGCAAGGCAAATGCCCTACCCGCTGTACTATTGCTCCAGCCCCATGACTATTACTTTTTAAGGTCACCCAAGAACAAAGTCTGAGAAACTCTCATAGTCAAGAGAAACCTCAAGAGGCATGAAGGATCAAGGACATATGAGACATTTTGAGAGGAATTCTGAAATTTAAAACAGGAACATTCCGTAAAATTAAACCATAAGCTTTAGTTAATAATAACATATCGCTGTTATCTTATTAATTGTAAAAAGTATCATGCCAATAGAAATGTTGGTGACAGGGAAATTATGTGTAGGGTCATGGGAATGCTATTCTGTGAGCTCAGTTTTTCTGTGAATCTAAAACTTTTCTAAAATTTACATACAAGTGGTACTGCATGGAAAGTATCATGTTAAGCGAAATGAGTCAGAAAGAGCGGGATAGACACAGAAAGATTGCATTCATCTGGGGAACATAAAGCAACAAAACAGGAGACTAACATCCAGGAATGGCTCAGATTAGTACCAGGAATTTTGCTCCATGACTTGAAGGCCAGCCACATGTGCTAGGTGAAAAGGAAGCTCATATAGAGAAGAGAGCACCAAATAAAGGGTGTTGTGAAGACTCTCCCAGGGTGGGAGAGACATGCTAAAAGTAGTCTATAGACCAAACATGATTGCCACTCAATGCCTCTCTGCCAAACACAGTACCCAAAGGAAGACAGAGAGAACAAGGGGGAATGCCCTGCCACAGCAGCAGGGTGGGACGGGGGGGCGGGGGGGGAATGGGGGTGGGAGGGATGCTAGGACCCGTGTTGGGGGAGGATGGGCACTGGTGGAGGGATGGGTACTTGATCATTGTATAACTGAAACCCAAGCACAAAAATGTATAAGTCTATAAATGTACTTCATGGTGTTTCACTAATAAAAAAAATGATTAAATAAAAAAAAAGGGCATTGATCAAGCATTCTGGATATTTCAGTAGCATAGAGGTGAGGTAATTACATATATTAAAACCTTAAGAGCCAACATTAGTGCATGCATATAACCCAAAATATAATCAACAAAAATTTAAAAGATGAACTTGCTAAGGAGGCTGGGTGGAGAGAGGGAAGGAATTTTGGATGCTGACATGGTGGTGGAACTGGAGTAAGAATATTGAGTGCCTGAAACACGGTTATTCATTTATGTAAATCACAATGCCTAAATAAAAATTCATTAATTAAAAAAAAATAAAATAAAATGTAGCACTGTCATCCCATTGTTCATCGATTTGCTCAAGCGGGCACCAGTAATGTCTCACAACAAATTGTGAGACTTGTTGTTACTGTTTCTGGCATATCCAATATGCCACAGGGGGCTTTCCAGGCTCTGCTGTGCGGGCAGGATACTCTCAGTAGCTTGCCGGGCTCTCCAAGAAGGATGGAGGAATTGAACCTGGGTCGGTCATGTGCAAGGCAAACACCCTACCTGCTGTGCTATCGCTCCAGCCATATTAATTTTTAGAAATCATATTTACAAGACACATGCTTTATATGAAGCTCTTTACAAGTGTTCACTCCGCACTTGAAACAGATTGGACCAGAGCCAGAGAGAAAGTACAGAGGTTAAGGCATTTGCCTGTCCTGGAGCCACCCCAGTTCAGTAAGCAACATTATGTATGATTTCCTGAGAACAACCAGAAGTAATTATTGAACTAGGAGCAAGTTCCTAGCATTGTCAGTGTGGTCTTGTACAAAGTAGATTGAATCATATTAGGATAGGTACCTTTTTTTATTAAGCTGTTCTGATAAGAGAAAGGAAATCAAAAGTTGTGAAGTTGATGCTGATCCAAGAGTGTCACTATTGATCCATATTCTGATCCAGTGCCAGAACAATATTGCAGCAGGTAGGTGGCTTGCCTTGCACGTGGCACCCCTTATGTGCCCCAAAACTCACCGGAAGTCATCCATAAGAACAGAGCCAGGAGTAAGCCCCAACATCACTCAGTGTGCAACTCACCTCCCCTCCCTGCAAATAAAACAACAGCAAAAAATTTATGAGTTGGAGCAGAGATGTAGCTCACAGATTGAACACTCGCCTAATAGATGTGAGGTCCTGGGTTCCTGCTGCCAGTTCTTGACACTAAAAAAAGTCCACAGTTTGATGCTACATAAGTTATTTAGGCATATGTGTGTGTGTATATATATATATATATATATATATATATATATATATATATATATATATAGCACTGAAGCACTGTCCTTCCATTGTTCATCGATTTGCTCGAGCGGGCACCAGTAACGTCTCCATTGTGAGACTTGTTACTGTTTTTGCATATCAAAATATGCTACAGGGAGCTTGCCAGGCTTTGCTATATATCTAAATCTATGTCTATATATATCTACATACATACATATATATTGCTATATATATATATATACACACACATATGCATATATATGAGGCCATGCCAACTCAGAAGAGGCAAAATCTTTAGATTGCTGAATTTTGTCCCTCATTATTTAGTGGGAGGGCAATGGCAGAATGGTAGAAGTTTTGTAGTTATCTTGATAAAAGTATAGCTAAGATTTTGGCTGTCACAGAGAGTGGTGACATTTGAGGATACAATCCTCCCACCAGGCTTGGGTGTCTCAGACATTTCTTATTTCTGTCTTGGAATGTTCATTTAATCCTAAATAATATATATAGTGTATATATACACAATATATGTTTAATTACATATATATACACATATATAATTGAATCACAGTGAGATATAGTTACAAAGCTCTCATGATTGATTTTCAGTCATAAAATGATTGAACAGTATCATTCCACTGGTGTACAATATTTTAGGTCAGATTTTCAAGTCACTTATTATTGTACTTTTGAAGTTTTTTAGGTTCCAGTTCCTAATGCCAACAGTTACAGGAAAAAAACACTTACAATATGTACATGTAATGACATGTAGTATATCAGAAAATAAGCCCGTTTTGTGGTTTCACCTGAGCACCTTTGGAACAGAAAGGTCTCGTGTTAATCTTTGTCTTTTCTAGGTTTCATAGAAAGTTATGATTTAAAAAGAGTAACTGTAGTCATTGTCCATAATTTAGCATTTCCTATCTGACAGTTCCCCCACTTTTCCCTAACCCGTTCTCCTCATGCTACAGATTTTTCTTATATTCTTGTGTTTTTTTTTAACCTCACCAATTCAGACAATATTACTTATCAATAAAAATCAATCTTTAAAGTAACAGAATGGAAGACTAACACCCAAGAATAGTAGAGATAAGGACCAGGAGGTTTACTCCACAGCTTGGAAGCCAGCCTAAAATGCGTGGGAAAGAGGCAGCTCAGACTGAGAAGGGAACACCAAGTAAAGGGTATTTGGAGGACCAGCTAGGGTTGGGAGATGCGAGCCGAATGTGAGATTGAACACAATGGCCACTCAGTGACTCTGGTGCAAACTACAACACCCAAATGAAAGAGAGAACAAAAGGGAATAAAAGTGAATGCCCTGCCACAGAGGCATGGGTGGGGGAGATGAGGTGGGGGTGGTGTGAGGTATATTGGGATCATTGGTGGTGGAGAAAGGGCACTGATGGAGGGATGGGTACTCAATCATTGTATGACTGAAACACAAGCACGAAAGTTTGTAAGTCTGTAACTGTACCCCCACGGTGATTCACTAATAAAAAAAAAATTAAAAAATCAATTTTTAAAAGTCGAACATGAGGTCTTTTTCACTCCTTTTAAAAAACTTTTTTTTATTCCAGTTGGCTCTTGAACCATACAGTTTAGAGTTGTAAGGGTCAATTTATGCACTGGTTTATTTTCCCACCTTCTGGTATTCTGGATGACCAGAACCTACATATTCTGGATTTATATAGCCATGCCTATTGATTGAATTCATGGACAGGAAGACTGGGGAAGACCTCTAAATTTTGCCTAGATTTTTGACTGAAGGATCAGAGCCCTTCACTGTGCGTTGTACAAAGGCCAAATAGACATGTCGGGTGATGATGAACTGACATTAAATGAAGAGCCACCCAATAAGGATGCGTAAAAACCAATTGGTTAATGACCTCTTAAAATTAACCTATTGGTATGTTCTTAAAAATGGGTTCACAGCCTGTGATGCTCAGGCTTGGGGAGCCCCTGGGCCATAGATGGCTATATGGCAAGGCACTGTAAGACCAGAATTTGAAACCAGAACTGTTCCCTGTGAGGTCTGAGCTTTACACACTGAGACATACTTTTAGTTCATAGCTTCCAACTGAGTGTGAAGTAAATTTGCCCTTACTGAGAACTTCTAATATCAGATCTGATTTCCCCAAATTGACAACTACTCTTTTTCCTCTTCCAATCACAGAAGAGCTCACAGGGCTTTGAAGAATGGCAGATGATCGGAAAGATGAAGCGAAGGTGCCTCACTGGACCTCAGCTCAGCTGACGGAGGCACCTGCCCACCCACACTCACCCGAGATTAAGGATCAAGGCGGGGCAGGGGCCGGGCTTGTCCGCAGTGCCAATGGATTTCCATACCGGGAGGATGAAGAGGGCGCCTTTGGAGAACGTGGGTCCCGGGGCACCTATTCAGATACCAAAGAGAACGGGATCAACGGAGAGCTGACCTCGGCTGACAGGGAGACAGCAGGTAACTAAGGGTTTATCGCACCCAATACTTGCTTTTTGCTTTGCAGTGCAGCAGCTTTCTCACTGGGGCATGGACTGAGATTCTAGCCAGTCAGGCAAAACAGACCCAGAGGAGCTAAAAGGCAGGAGAAGAGCACTGACATTCTCCCAACTATAGTCTCCCTCCTTCCCTTCCTTCTTCCCTCCCTCCTTCCCTCCCTCCCTCCTTCTCTTTATATGTTTTTGTGCTAAGGGTGAATTCCTAGCTCTGTGCTCAAGGGTCCCTTCTGGCAGTGCTCAAGGGACAATATATGCTGCCAGGGATCAAATACAGGTCAGCTGCATGCAAGGTAAGTGCCCTATACTTCTATACTGCCTCTCTGGCCCATTTTTTCAATATGACCTCACTAGATTTCAATAACAGGCAAATGGCATTATTACATAGTTTCTTCTTAATTCTCTTGAATGCTGTTGTACTTAAATCTGATTTTTTAATTGATCGATTGATTGCAATTGTTTTAACTTTTGAGCCCAGAAGGTGGTGTAGGGTTTATCTCCCAAACTTTGAAAAGAAAACGGAGAGAAATAAAACACACACACACACACACACACACACACACACACACGCACATAGAGTTACAGAAACTATTTCATATCATCTTAGATAGATTTCTCTTTTTCTCCCCTTTTGACTAGCTAGTTCTTTTAATTTTATTTTTATATATATTTAATTTTTTATTGAATCACTGTGAGATAGTCACAAAACTTTCATGACTGAGTTTCAGTCATACAGTAATTGAACACCCATCCCTCCACCATTGCACGTTTTCCACCACCAATGTCCCCAGTATCCCTCCCACCGCACCCCACCCCACCTCACCCCCTGCCTCTGTAGCAGGCACCTTCCTTCTTACTCTCTCTCTACTTTTGGGCCTTGTGGGTTGTGATACAGATACTGAAGAGGCCACCGTGTTTGGTCCTTAGTCTACTTTCAGCACACAGATAGATTTCTCTTAAAATAATCATTAGAGCGCTATGTTTACAAAGTTGTTCATAGTTGGGTTTTAAACACAATGCCAGTGCTACCACCAGGGTCTTCTTCCCTCTACCAGGATTCCAGGTCCCCTCCCACCTCCACTCCCACTCCCCACACCAGTCAAACTGCCGCATTGATAGGCACATTTTATGGTTTGGTTCTTGAAGTCTGGATCTCTTGTTTTCAGTGTTTTTAATGCCATGGTTTGGATATTTAGCTATACTACACCATTAGACCACCAAAGTACTCAGATACCCTTAACCCCTGTTTCTCATTGTTTCCTGTCTATCTCCCCTCCCCCCACCATAAATTTCTTTCTTTCTGTCTCTGCTCTTTTTCTCCCTTTATTCTGGGGTACCCTCCCTTATTTAAAACAATGTATTCCCTGGTCCAGTTATTCTATATACCACATATAAATGACATCATTTGCCTTTGTGGCTTAATTCATTTAACATGATGTCTTCCAGTTCCTTTCATATTGTAGCAAATTGTATTATTTCATCTTTCCTTACAGCTGTGTAATATTCCATTGTGTATATGTGCCACATTTTCACTATCCACTTATCTATCATTAGATACCTGGGTTAACTCCAGATATTAGCTATTGTACAAAATGTTGTACTGAATAATGATGTGCAGATACCTTTCTTAATGTTTTTGTGTCTTGTATCCAAAAGTGGAATTTCTGGGTCATATGGAACCTTATTATAGCTTACTGAGATATCTCCATACTGTTTTTCATAAAGGTTGAACCAGGCAAAAAACCAAAAACTCTTTCTTTTTATAATATAAACTATCAGCATAAATTGACCTTAACAGTTTAGATGATTATTTTATTCTTTTTGTTGCTGTTGTTGTTTTCGGGGGGGGGGGGGCACACACCAGGCAGTGCTCAGAGTTTACTCTAGGCTTGGTGCTAGGCAGTTGATTCTGAGGTTGCTTGTGGGGATTGTGCAAAGCCAGGATTTGTGCATGGACCTTCTGTAGTCAAAGCATGTGCTCAGCTCACTGAGCCATCTATCTGGCCTTATTTTTAATTGGGGCCATGATTTTATAATAGTCAAATTACTTATACGTCACATAAAATATATCCCCATATTCTTTTTCTCCTATCACATATGTCTTAAAATACTGGCAACATGAAGCATTTCTCAGAGACAGATCTTATCTACTCTATGTTTATAACTAAGTTATTACTAGCTGAATACAAAGATCTTTCTTCTTTCCTTCTTTGTTGCAGTTCTCTCCTCTAGGGCCAGGAAGATAGCACAGTGGGCAGGGTACTTGCATTGTACATGGCTGACTAAGGTTCAATCCCAGCATCTCAAATGGTCCCTTGAGAACCACCAAATATGATCCCTAGGCTGAGAGCCAGGAATAAAATAAATAAATAAATAAAGGCCCTCCCGTTGATCGTCGATTTGCTCGAGCGGGCCCAGTAACGTCTCCATTGGAGACTTTGTTGTTACTGTGTCTGGCATATCGAATACTCTCGGTAGCTTGCCGGGCTCTCTGAGAGGGGCGGAGGAATCGAACTCGGGTCGGCCATGGCCATGTTGGCCGCTTGTAAGGCGAACGCCCTACCCGCTGTGCTATCTCTCCAGCCCGCCAGGAATAAGACCTGAAAACCAAAACCACCAGGTGTGGCTCTAAAACAAAACAAATAAATATATGTGTGTGTGTGTATGTGTGTGTGTGTGTGTACATATTTCCTTCTTCATTGGTAGAAATGAATCTTGTCTCCAACATGGTTTTTTTCTTCCTTCTCTATGAACAAATGAAGCACCGTGATTAAATCTTCCTCCTCTTTCCTTCATCATTATTTCAACAAAGAGCCTTTTCTCATTCTCCTTCATATCCCCTTTCCAATATGCACTCTCATTTATGGGCTTTAATAACATTTAATTGCAAAATATGCAAGTCCACCACAATCCTGTCTTTTGATCTTGTGGGCATTTTGTTTTAGACAAAGCAGTTTATAAAACTTAATTTAGGGGCCAGAGCATTAGTACAGCGGGTAGGGCATTTGCCTCATAAGCGGCTGACCAGGGTTCAATCCCTGGCATCCTATATGGTCCCCCAAGCACTGCCAGGAGTAATTCCTGAGTGTAGAGCCAGGAGTAACCCATGTGCTTCACCGGGTATGACCCAGAAATCAAAAACAACAGCAACAACAACAAACTATTCGAATATATAACAGTTAAGTGCTGCTTACAGAAAGTGTGGAACTGCATTCTTCAAATGACATTCTCCATCAATAAATGTTTAAAAAGAAAAAACTATTCATTTAGGTCAGGTTTCTTATATAAAATATTCCAGCACCACACTCTCCCCAGAGTATGGTCATCCCTGTCCCCATGTCCTGCTGCCACTCCTCTCCTGCTGAAGATCAGTCCTCAGCTTCTCATATCTTTGGGACTTCTATATTCCTGCAATATGATTCTTTACATTCTGCATGTGAGAGGGACCATTGTCTGTACCTCCTCTTCTGACTAATTTCATTCAGCACAATACTCTCCTTATTCATTCACACACCAGCGAATTCCATGATTCCATATATTTTCTTTCTGTTTTATTTATTATGCATCATGACATGCAATTATTTATTATTGTTTATTATTATTTATTATTGTTTCAGTCATACAATGTCCCAACACCAATCCCTTCCACGGTGGCCACTTCCTCCTTACTTTCCCTCCAACCAACCTGTCTTAAAGCTGAATAAGATTTCCTGGTATATACATATCATCATTGTATATACATACCATCAAGTCATCTGTTCTTTTACATTTGGTTGGTTTTCCACTTTTGGCTATCATGAATAGTGCCACAAAGAACATAGAAGGGCATATGTCTTTTCTGAATTCATTTTCGACCCTTTGGGTAGATGCCCAAAAGTGAAATTACTCTATCATATGAAAGTTCCATTCCTAGTGTTTTTTTTTTTTTGGTGAAGTGTCAATACTGATTTCCAAAAAAGCTACACCAGTTGACATTCCCACTAGCAATAGATGAGGGTATTTTTCTCCCCACATCTTGTCAACGCTGGTTTTGTACTTTGTGATGTGGGTGAGTCTCACTGGTGTAAGATGATCTCATTGTTGTTTTGATTTGCATTTCCCAGATGATAAGTGATGCAAAGCATTTTTTCATATTACTTTTTCCCATCTGCATCTCTTTGAAGTTTCTATTAATATCTTGCACCCCTTCCCTTTATTTGTAATCTTTGAGCTGAGACCAGGTGGAAGAGGCAAAGGATGCTCAAAGTTAACCATATTTTTAGGTGTATACATTTCCAGCTTCCTTTTCTAGATTTTGTTCCTTTTCTCATAATTTAAAGCTAAGTCAAAAAGCAGTTGATAGAAGTTTCTTGCTCCTCTCTAGTATAATTTTTGACTTTTTGTTTTTTTCCTTCTATTTACTCACTACAATGTCCATTTTTATAAGTCATGCCACAAAAGCCTGAGAAAAAAAAAAGAAAAAGAAAGAAAGGAGAAACCATTGAGATTCTAACTATTTAGAAGAGTTATTTTTATAAGATTTAAAAAGTCCTTTTACATTATTTTCTAATGCATAAGGGGGGTGGTGCTTTGTCATAAACCCTTCCTCTTTTTTATACCTTTATGAAAGAAAGAGTGAAGGTTAGTATACATGGAGAACAAATCTTACTGAAAACTAGGAGCCTTATCTTTGTTTTTATCTGAGATCAAGAGGCGAACTCACATTAGAATTCATAGCCACATTACATCATCATGCTTATAAAAATGCAGAAGCAATGATAAACAAAAATTTTAAAATTTTGAGTGGAAAATAATTATTTTATTTTGTTATTGTTATTTTGGGACCACAGAAAGTGACGCTCAGGGCTTACTCCTTGCTTTGCACTCAAAGATCATTCCTGGCAGTGCTCGGAAGACAATATAGGATGCTGGGGATCAAACTCAGATTGGCTGTCTTCATAGCAAGCACCCTACCTGCTGTACTAT